CACAGCCCTCGCCAGGGGCCTCAGACAGCCAATCACTCGGGCGCCCGAGGCAAGGCCCCTCCTCTTCCCGGCACCTCCGCAACTTCAGAGAAGGGGAGCGAGGTGAAGATGCTGACGGCCAGGGCCCGGGGTCCCCCGCGCTCCCTCCGGGCCCGGGGACGCCCCAATCCGGCCGAGTGGCCGGCCTCGAGGTCCGCGGACTGTGCGCCTCCCGAAGACGAAACTCGACTGGCCCACGTGCCTTACTCTCATAACTCACTTTTACAACTCCCGGTGCGCACGTGCACGGGGCTGCTGGAGCGGGAGGGGCGCGGCCCGCAGCGCCGCCAACTCGCCATGGGCTCTCGGACAACCGCCGCGCGGCCTGCAGGAAGCGGGTCCCTTTCAGCGCCAAGAAACCCAGGACTGTGATCCGCTCAGCTGTCCCAACAGGTGGTTGTTGTCGGCCCTGCGGGGCTCGGCCCCTCCTGCAGCCAAGCACAGCGCCTGCTGCTGCGCCCACCAAGGGAACGAGCGACGTGGCCGGTGAGGAAGAATGACTTCAACGATGGGTTTGTCCTCTAATAGTATCCTTCAGTGAAACAGCAGCGTGCTGCATCTAGGGAAAAGCCAAGTGAACATGTGCCACTGGGGTTAAGGTACAGGCATGTCTTATTAATAAGCTATTCGCCATTCACTTGAGGGGATAATTTCTGAAGTCTATGGTTTTTGACATTAAAAAGAAGCCCCCTAACAAAACAAAAGCCCAAGCTGGTTAGGAAAACCATCAAGATATTTGAAACCCATGAGGTTGTGCGTTAAATATTAAAAATATTCCATATGGAACCCTTCTGATTTATAGACATGGAAAATATTATTGCCGCGATGCTTTCCGAGGGCCTAGCTATGCAAGCACACTTGCCCCAGTCGAGAAGACATAAAGCACACCAATGCAGATTTCCAGGACCACGTGCCGTAGGATCTTCTATCATTTAAATTGCAAACCGAAAAATGGTCTCAACTTCAAGAGTTTCTACACGG